TTTGCTGAGGATGACGGCTTCCAACTTCACCCATGTCCCCACAAAGGACATGATCTCATTCCTTGTTATGGCTACATAGTATTCCATGGTGTATATGTACCACCTTTCTTTGTCTAGTCTACCATTGATGGTTTTGCCCATTTTTAAATCAGATTATTTGTTTTCTTGCTATTGAGTTGTTTGTGCACTTTATATCTTCTGATTATTAATTCCTTGTCAGATGGATAGCTTGCAAATATTTTTTTTTTCTGTTCTGTGGTTGTCTCTTCACTTTGTTGATTATTTCCTTTGCTGTGCAGAAGCCTTTTACCTTGATATATTAATAATTCTGTTTGTCCATGTTTGCTTTCATTGCTGTGCATTTCAAATTTTTGCCTAGGTAAAAAATCTTTGCCTAGATCAATGTCCTGAAGCATTTCCCCAATGTTTTCTTTTAGTAGCTTCATAGTTTCATGTCAGATTTAGTCTTTAATTCATTTTGATTTGATTTTTGCATATGATAAGAAATAAGGGTCAAGTTTCATTCTTTTGCATATAAATATCCTGGTTTCCTGGCACTATTTATTGAAAAGACTATTCTTTCTCCCATTGTATGTTCTTGGTACTTTTGTCAAAAATGAGGTGGCTATAAAAAATGTGGATTTGTATCTAGGTTCTCCATTCTGTTTCATTGGTTTATGTGCCCGTTATTATGTAAGTACCATATTGGTTTTGTTACTACAGCTTTGTTGTATACTTTGAAGTCCGGTAGTGTGACGTCTCCAGCTTTTTTTTTTCCCTCTTGCTCAGGATTGCTTTGACTATTCAGAATCATTTGTGCTTTTATATCAACTCTAAGATTGTTTTTTTCTATTTCTGTGAAGAATGTAATTGGTATTTTGATTAAGGGTTGCACTGAATCTATAAATTGCTTTGAGTATTACTGTCATTTTAATGACATTAATTCTCCCAATCCACAAGCATGCAATATCTTTCAATTTTTCATGAGCTCTTTAGTATCTTTCATCAGTGTTTTATAGTTTTCCTTTTACAAATCTTTCACTTATCTGGTTAAATTGACTCCTAGGTAGTTTATATTTTTTGGACCTATTGTAAGTGTATTTGCTTTCTTGATTTATTTTTCAGATTATGTTGGTTTTATTTTTGCACATGACTACATTTGCAAAAATAAAACCAGTTCCCAGCAATATGGAGGTGATGGTTTGGACGATTTTGTAACTTTGCTCCTTCCCCTCTGGTTTGATAAATCCACTATCTCTCTTTCTCCTCCAGCTTGAGCAGAGACAGAAAAGTACCCAAAAAATTAATGTATAAGAAATAGATACATCAGATGTCTTTTGAGAAATATTTCAAGTTAACCAGCTAAAGAGATTTTCAAATGCAATAAACAGACAAGAGCAACAGCTTGCATTTCTTTCTCCATTTACCAGAATTACATTTGTGGAAAGTGCACATTGGCCATTTGCCTTCAGCTGCACAAATTTCAGGGAATTTCAATGTGGTGCTAAGGGCCAGTTCCAGAAACTAGGATATAGAGCAATATCAACAGCAGTAGAAACTATTCAATGTTTCCTTACCTATACGCTTTTTAGCTAAAATGTTTTAAATTCTTTTTGAGACAGAGACTTACTCTGTTGCCCCAGCTGTAGCACAGTGGTGCGATCTCAGCTCACTACAACCTCCACTTCCCAGGTTCAAGTAATTCTCCTGCCTCAGCTTCCCAAGTAGTTGGGATTACAGGCACCTGCCACTATGCCCAGCTAATTTTCTGTATTTTTTAATAAAGGCAGGTTTCACCATGTTGGCCAGGCTAGTCTCAAACTCTTGACCTCGTGATTCACCCAGCTCGGCCTCCCAAAGTGCTGGGATTACAGCGTGAGCCACTGTGCCCAGCCGTTTTTAAATTCTTAATGCAATTTAATCTTCAGCATGATCTAGTCAAGTTGCTAATGCATATTCTTTTAAATTAAAATTATTTAATCCAACTCCTTCACTTTACCAGTGAAGAAAAGGGCGAAGTAGGGAAGAGTTGGTCATATTTATTGAAGCAAAGAAAATGCCAAAGAATCTTTTTTAGAGAATTAATTCTGGGAGAAAAGAGAGGTCCACAGAATTCCAGAGGTAGGGAGATGGGCAGTGACAAGCCTGCTACTTAGCGGGAAAGAGCCAGGCCAACTTCTAGTTTTCCCATCTACTAGAATTGAGCAAACTTTACTTGGCTTTTCACATTTAAAGGCAAAGCCTTATGAAAGCTGCAAATGAATTTTACCTTGTCAGTGCTTCCCAATAAATAAACACAAAGAACTCATAGAGCCCCACATGGGATAAACTAAGACACTTAGAAAGCAAGCATATGCCCATGATCACAGCAAAATCAAGCTTAGGGGGTTCTGGGTGCTACATGCATTCATCACTACCTCTTCCACTGAATAAATTCTTTTCTTTATAAAACACTTTAAGACTTCATTTTTAGAGCAATTTTAGGTTCACAGCAAAATTGAGAGGAAGGTATAGAAATTCCCCACATGCCCTCTCTCCCACAATTGCACAGCCTCCCCTGTTATCAACATCCCCACTAGAGTTGTGCATTTGTTACAACTGATGAATTTATATGGACTCATCATCACTGGAGCCCAGAGTTTACACTAAGGTTCACTCTTGGTCTTGTACATTCTATGGATTTGGACAAATGTATAATGACATGTACCCACCATTAGAGTATCCTACAAAGTAGTTTCACTGCCCTGGGCATGGTGGTGGGCACCTGTGATCCCAGATACTCAGGAGGCTGAGGCAGGAGAACCGCTTGAACCTGGGAGGTGAAGGTTGCAGTAAGCCAAGAAGATTGTGCCATTGCACTCCAGCCAGGTAACAGTGCGAGACTCCATTGCCACCCCCCAAAAAAAGTAAAGAATTCTCTGTGCTCTGCTTATTCATCCCTGCACACACACCCCCCATGGAAAACAGTACACATTTTATTGCAGAAAAAAATTAAAAGAGTTTCTCATGAAAATCTTGGGAAAATAAAGGAAAGTCTAAATGAGGGAATTAAAGGTATTCAGAAATAATGTCAGTATTTTGATGTCTGTCCTTCAAGCCGTGTTTTCACTGGGCATATACAACCACATGTAGGTATTCATGAATGTGTAAACATAAAGTCTTATCACCTCTCAAAATTGGTAACATGTTTTATTTTAGAAACTGCTTTTTTTCCTTGTACCATGAACATTTTCTCTTGGCATTGAATAGTCTTTACAAGAAATTTTAAATTACTGCATAATGATCCTATGTGTGTAAGTGCTCCCCGACCCCCTCTTTAAAATCAGGGTTAAAAAAATTAAGAGAGCTGCAAAGTATTTTGGTATTATAAGTCCAAACACTTCTCTCAACTTCCATGGCTACAGACATGGAATCTCCTACCTAGAGTGGGAAGTCTAGCTATATTATCTCCAGCCCTGTTTCTTCCAGATTTCACTTTAGCAAACCTAAGACATGTAACCTCTTGGTCCTGTTTCATCAAGCATAGCAAAGCAATGAAAAAAAAAATGCTGACCAATTGGCACAGGTTCAGCTTTCATATAGTTGGTGAACAAATGAATGAATGAGTGAGTGAAAGAAAGCTGTCATCATCATCATCATCATCATCATCATCATCTTGTACAGCCCTTCACAGGGCTGACAATGTGCCTTACAGATTTCCAATACTGGTCTGTTTCTACTTCTGACAAACAGAGAAATATGTAATCCCTCACACAGCAGGGGCTTACCTATGCAGGACAGGAGCAGCAAATGTGCCTCTTAGCCCTAGTCTCCAAGTGCAATGCCTTCAACATTATATTTTAAGAAAATACATTGCCATGAGGGCTGTTAAAGTCAACCTGAAAAGACTCTGAGGATTCTGTACAAACACAAGGGTCAGACTGTTCCATACCAGATAGAAACATCAGATGTCAGACTAAAGGCCCTGGCCAAGACCACCCCAGGCAGTGGCAAAGAAAGACACTTTTGTCATGTGTCTGCTCCTCTTCCTTGATGTTAAAACCTACCTTTGAGTCCACCAAAAACCCCACAGCTCTCCCATCTAACCACATTTAATTAAAATTTCTACTGAGGTTTTATTTTTACAGTCTGCATTCTATAAACCTTCTGAGACCAGAGGGAGAAAAAAGGACATGGGAATCAGAGAGAGATACGACTAGGCAGCTTGGGCCTCTCACCCATCCCCACTCACTGCCCCCTCATCTAGTGCTGTCTGAATCCCTGGTATTGATGTCTAAGCAGCATACAACATTCCTAACCGCTGGAGGATCTGACCGCTGCCTCCATAGGGCTGATGACACTGACAAGGCCGGGCAGGAATGATGAGACTGTGAGTCAGAGGGGACAGATTGCTTGCTGGGGCCCTTGGTTAGTATATCCCTCCCCCTGAGCTTTTGAGAGTCAACCTGTCACCAAGTGACCCTCGGTCCAGCCTGGCTGGATCTCAACGTAGGTGACCTCAGTCTTCCCCTTCCTTCTCACAGCTCCTCCTGTTAACAATATATTGACAGCTGGAGAGTCAAGGCCTTCATCACCCCCCTTTGAGTACCAGGAGTGATACAACTTTCAATGGATTTGCTAGAATTCTGGTTTTTGATCATGTACCCTGGGGAGGGGTAGAGGAGAAAAAATGAATGTGTTGCTTTCTTTCCTTTCTCATCCTTTATTCAGCACACCATCTCACACTGTGGCTTTTTGTTCACCTTCCTCTACTCCCAGCACCCACTAAGGATATATATGAGCCCTTAACACATACCAGCTCATTGTATTCTCATAACCACCCTTTGAAGTAAGTTATTTTCTTGTGTAGCAGATAAGGAAACAGAGGGTAAATAAACTGACCCAGGTCACACAGCTTTCAGGTGAAAAGAAAGATCAGAACTCAGCTTTTTGGGGCCAAAGCCTTGCTCTTTCCGACACAATACATTGGTTTTTGAGAGTTCACACCTCTGACTTCACAGTTGAAGAACAACGCAGCATTGGTGAAGTAGAAACCCCTAGGAACGAGGCTGCCCAAATTCGAATCCCAGCTCCGCCAGTTTCTGAGTGGCCTTGGGTAAGTCACTAAAGTTCTATGTGTCTTAGTTTTCTCATCTGTGTAATGGGGGTAATAATAGTACTTCTTCATGGTTGTAAAGAGTATACAAAACCAAATAACAGGAAAATGGTTGGGCCAGGCATGGTGGTTCATGCCTGTAACTACAGCATTTGGGAGGCTGACGCTGGAGGATCTCTTGATCCCAGGAGTTTCACACCAACCTGGACAGCATAGCAAGACCCCGTCTCTAAAAAATACAAAAATTAGCTGGGCATAGGGCCATGAACCTGTAGCTACTCAGAAGGAGGTTGAAGCTGCAGCCTGGGTGACAGAGTGAGACCCTGTCTAAAACAAAAAAATTAAGAAGGAAAGTGGCTAGCAGTGTTCAGTAAGCATTTGGTGTTACTATCATGTTGAAGATCAACAATCATGCTCTGAGACGTATCAGTAATCTATTCAGAAAAGAGGTCTACTTCCAATAGAGACACCAAAGGAAAGTTTAGGGGAGGTGTTGTTATACTCTAAAATTACTGAAAATGGTTGATGAACAACGTGTTTCAGATCATAATAGCAAACACCTTCATAGCACTTTCTATACACCAGACATGGTTCTAGATTGTTCATCCATAACAACTTATTTAATCCTTACAATAACCCTATAGCATAGGGAAAATTAGCCTCTCTATCTTTTTTTAATTTTATTTTTGTATTATACTTTAAGTTCTAAGGTATATGTGCAGATCGTGCAGGATTGTTACATAGGTATACACATGCCACAGTGGTTTGCTGCATCCACAAACCACTGATGTCATCTACATCAGGAATTTCTCCTAATGTTATCCCTCCCCAATCCCCTCACCCCCTGCTATCCCTCCCCTAGCCCCTCTACCCCTCAACAGGCCCCAGTGCGTGATGTTCCCCTCCCTATGTCCATGTGTTCTCATTGTTCAATACCCACTTATAAGTGAGTACATGCGAACAACTCTATCTTATAGATGAGAAAACTGAGGTTCAGAGGGGTTAAATACTCACAAGTAGTAAGTAGCAGAGACAGGATTCAAATCCAAGTAGGCGGTTTCCAAGGTCAGAGAGCATTAACCATCATGCTGTTCTGGCTCTCAGGTATGTCATTCATAATTCTGAATGGCAACAATAGCCATAAACATACATGGAGAACTTGCTCTGAGCCAGGCACCGTGCCAAGTGCTTTCCATGTGTTTCTCTGTGCTTTTTCATTTAGTTCTCACAATTGCATTCCTGTCTTGCATTTTATATATGAAGAAACCAAGGCACAGAAAGATTAAGTACCTTAATCACGGTTACACAGTAAGTGGCAGAGAAGGGATTCAGTCTGTGTGCATCAGAAGCCCATGCTATCATCTACAACACACTCCCCAGACCACCTGTATTGAAACTACCTGGGATGGTCTTTTTCATGGACCACAGTCCAGACCTCTTCCCTCAGAATCTCTGGCGGTGGTATCTATGTCTCTGCCTTTCAAATAAGCATATTCCTTTGAGAATCACAGCCCTATAAATGCTGCTTTTACTATTTCCAAGAGAATGTGTTACCAAAAAAAGGCACCTTCCTTCCCTCCAGTCCATGTAAGGCTGTACTTCGCATTGGTTCTCCCTTCCCACTTGTCTAAATATAAAGGATAATAACCCTGCCTTCTTAATGATCTTTAAAGGGATTCTGACCTTCTGAGCTATACTCCAGACCCATGACCCTGGAACCTGCCCCTCCTTTACGCTGCTGGACAACCATGGACAAGACACCTTGCCACAGCATTTCCCCAAAGCCTCAAAAAAATGGAAGCACAGGGATAAGATTGTTGATGTCACTGTAGCTGGAAAACACAATGAGCATAAAGGGTTTTGGAAGAAAAAATGCATATTTGTCAGACATAACCATTATTCTCTGCAGAATTTAAAAAGACACAGATGGCCAAGGGAGCGAAGGAGGCGAGATGTAATGTCTCCTCCAAGGGCCCACACATACATGGCCTTTTCAAGCAGTCTGCTCATGTTTATATCACGGCATTCTGGGCTCCTCCCACTTGCTTTTACATTTCCTAGTCTCTTTTCCCTAATCCGTCTTCCATTTATCTTTCCCCTGCTGCTTTACTTTAAAACAGAAATTCCACATCCATATCCAAAGGGAACAAAACCCAACTCTAGGAGCTTGAAGGAGCCCCCAGTTGCCATTATCCTCAACAACTGTGGTGCTGGAAATCCTCGAAGGACAGCTGCTTCTGGGTTATTTCAAATGTTGGAATATGAGCTGAATGGGTCTTATTTTTATTACATCGGTTACCATAAAAAATAATTGAATAATGCATCTAAAAATACTTGGCTGCCAGGTGTGATGGCTCATGCCTATAATCCTAAAGCTTTGGGAGGCCAAAGTAGGAATGGCTTAAGATCAGGAGTATGAGACCAGCCTAGGCAACATAGCAAGACACCATCACCACCCCTGGTTTCCACAAAAAGTTTACAAATTAGCTGGTCATGGTAGCACACATCTGTGGTCCCAGCTACTCAGGATGCTGAGGTGGGAGGGTCAATTGAGCCCAGGAGGTCAAGGCTGCAGTGAGCCATGATTGTGCCACTGCACTTCAGCCTGGGTGACAGAGCAAGATCAAGCCTCAAAAGTAAGTAAATAAATAAATAAATAAACCTTGGCAATATAATTCAGCAAATATATCAATCAAAGCACTAGAATGACTACATTAATAACAATGAAATATAAACTATACCCTAAAAATCCAATCTTGTTTTCCCCAGACTCAGGAATTCTACAAACTATCCCACCTGTTCCTAGTCTTGCACATTCTAAAATCTTCTTTCTGAGTCAGAGTACATTAGAACTACATCAGGGGTCTTGATCTGCCACTGTCTACCTCTTTGCCAAAAGCTTCCAGAATTAGTGTTACTGTCCTCCTATCCAGATTCCCCTATGTGAAGCAGAAGCCAGATTTTCTGTCTACCAAAGGCAGCTGGCCAACAACAGATGTCAAGTGTAGAAAAACGTTGAGCTAGGGTGATGCATTTGTAATGGCATGTCCTATGGGTCCCGAAGCCCTGAGCTGACAACAGCTTCAGGCAGGCTCGTCCTTATTATAGTTACCTCCCCCAGCCCTGCAAGCTAGGACAAGATGAAGGGAAACTTCTTTTTGCCGGAGGATTCCTGGCTGGCTCTAAGCTTGAATCACCACTGGTGGATGGTCATAAGCAACGTCTCATCTGCAGACTTTTAAAGGGGCCTCAGTATTTGGAGTGGAACATCATTAACCCCAAATCACCTATTCTATATTATCCCTCACATGCCTACAAGAACCTACCACCAGCCCTATTTCAAACACAGAGAAATGAAGCCACGGCATTTAAAAGGCATTTTTCCTAAGGCTGGAAGGTGGGTGCATATTAAAACCAAGGAGAAAAAGCAAGTATCAACAGATAGATATATGCCAAGTCTTTGGGGATTCTTTTTTTTTCTCGGACAGAGTCACAGATGAATAGAATGGGACTTTGGACTAAAGTGAGCCTCAAGAGGATCATATAAGTTTCATCCAATTATAGACGAAAACACCCAGTATCGCTCGTTCTCAATTCCTCGTGAAACTTGTGTAGGAATAGCAGAAGAAGGAAGGGGAAGAGTATATGATGACTTTAATTTCTCGAGTATTCCCATTTTTCCAGGCACTATGTTAAGTATGTTAAATGGATTATCTCACTTAATACCTGCAGCCCTCCTATGATATAGACACAATTATCCTCAGTCTACAGACTGAAAGGTGATAAGGCCACATCAGCGAGAGGAAGTAACTTGCTGAATAAAACTGTTCATAAATGACAAGATTCAAACCCTGATCAGTATTTCAAACCACAGTACTTTATACCCCATGCATGTGCACATACATACGTATACACACACAAATATACACCTTATATGCAAACTTTCATGATTCTGTGTGCATGCATGAGTAAACTTATATCCATTCAAGAAATCTATATCAAAGATGAATCTGATACATATTCAGTGGGGGATGAGAAGATCATAGCTTCCCAAAATGCACCCAGGCAAGATGCCCTTTAAAGGAGCAGCTGGTTTTACTCCTCATTAATTGTCGCTGCAGTCATCATCTGAAACAAGTCTGGGCAGAAAGAGAAGGCACACAACGCTAGGGCCAAGAGAAAAACCATGTTGCGTGACAACAAGAACAATATATTTAGCAAAGCCAGGAATAAAGTAGGTCTCAGAAACAGCAAATAAGGAGTCAACGAACAGCTCAAATCCATGTGCTGTCTCTATGGGATAAAGCCCCTGTATAAACAGACAGACCACTTTCAGGTTGTGCAAATCAGGGTCACAGTGACTGAGCTCTACCAGAACGGGCAAACACAAGAGTAATTGTGACCACAAATTGGACCAAAATTCTTATTTTACACTGTGGTCAAATGTTTGGTAGTCAATGATAATCTAATAAAATATCAATCGGGTAGAAATAGTGACAATGCAGGGGGCAGCTCAAACAAATAATAGCAAGGGATTGAAAAAGACTCTGTGGGAGGAGGGAAAAGGAAAAAAAGAGGTAATGGAGGGGAAAAAAGAGGTGGAGAAGGGGAGTGATTAGACCCTAGACTTGATGTCCCAGGGATTAGAAGGATACTCAAATATTCTCTGTAAACTAAGGATAATTGTATCTGACATGACACATCTAGCTGGGAAGTCAAGTCACAGCTCTTCTCACTCCCCCAAACTGCCACATCATCAGGAGTGCTAACAAATGAGATTCACACCTCAGTTTGCCAAATGATCCCAGACCAGTACATTACCACAAGCAACTGGAATACAGGAAAAGAGTTTCTCCATAGCCCAAGCCAATTAGTGCTGGCAAGATAGGAACATGGATGTGCCATCATCTCCACGGTCCTTTCAACATCTCAGCAAATGTTAAGTGACAAGGACATCAGACCTCCTACCCATACCTCAGCAAAAGTCTGAAGAGAAGCCCATGATTCTTAGACTTTCAAAGTCCCTTCTTACCCTTTCCTCTGTGACGGTGAGATACTCTTCCATGTTGTATGCCTTATAGGCAAGAGATCAGATTTTTCCAAACTGTATTCCACAAAGCACTAATTCCACTGGATGGTATAAGGTAAAAAGACAAAAAAAAAGGGCTCTGTAGTCAAACAACTTTGTGAAATGTTTCATTGTAAAAATGAATTATAGCTTTCTTTACTGCAGGCTCTATAATCTCCAAATTCCCCCGACTTATTTCATTAGAACATCCTGGGTTCTGTTTATTTTTGCTGAATGTCTCCCACAATTAGCATTCCCTGAAACCCATTTTGGGAAATGCCAGGCTAAGTAGATTGCAAGAGCCTTCAGAAAAAGGATTTTGTCCTATTCATCTTGATATCCCCAATACCTATAACCACGCCTGGCACCTGATAGGGGCTTGATAAGGATTATTGAATAAATACATGAATATGGACATGGGAACACGTGTGATTCCTAGCATAAAGGCTATTTGTGACCAAGACTGACATTAGAATTTTCTCTTGCTGTGACTTTTCAGAGTATTGTATAGAAAGAAGAATCCATTTGCTCCATTAGTGAATATTTTTGTTGATTGCAATTTGTATCTCATTTCCGCAAGGGCTTGAGATACTTATCCATTCTGTTCTACCAGGGGATTGGCTAGAGGATCAGGGCTTGCCCAAAAGGGACGCTGAACACCATTGGGAAGCAGGGAATTAACCCCCTGGGATGCAAAAAACGAGACCAAAAAGTGTTGTAACAAAGATTCCTTACCACCAGCCATGTTCTCCCTTCCACTGGTATCCAAGTTAGCAAAGGTAGGTTGAAAATTATAGGAGTAGATGATACCAGGTAGAAGCTAAGCCCAGGTAACTTGTCCTAGGACATTTCAAGTGTTCTCCATCATTCTCATTAACTTCTAAGGAGGGATCCCATGGTGGATGCAAAAGTCTAAAGGGAAACCCATGTTTCTTAGACTTTCAAATTCCCTTCTTACCCTTTCCTCTTTAATGGTGAGATATTCTTCCATGTCTTATGACTTATGGGCAAGAGATCAGAGTTTTCCAAACTGTATTCCATTGAGCACTGATTCCACTGCGTGGCATAAGGGAAAAAGGCAAAAAGAGGCTCTGTGGTCAAACAACTTGAGGTGATCAGAGAATTAACTGATCACCTCCAAAGGAACCCTATAAAGTAAATGGAAGTGCAACTGGATTTGAAAACCATTGACACTGTAGTTTCTTGGAGTCATCAAATAATTCATTTGATTTGAAGCAAACCAAGCCAACATCCCCTCTTCATCCAGTGGTTTTTCATTAAACCAGCTGGAATTTTTTTTAACTTAACATAAATTCAGTGCGTGAGGACAACTGCTGTGTCTCCCCCTGAGCTAAAGTTAGCTGAAAGTTAGCTCACTCTGTTCTGACAGCAAGAGCCTGCTTTTCCAATCACCAAGTTGACTGACCAGACTTCTATTTACACGGATGCTTGCTGCCAAACCACTAACTCAACCTCTGAGACAGCCAGAACCTCAGAGAGGGTGGTAATAAAGACACCCGACTTCAGGAATAAAGGCATTTATCCAACACCAGAGGCAGAAGAGTGACAGAAATGTAGTCTTCAAAGCTTCTCAGCCAAGGGGGCTACTTTCTTAAATAGCTGACATAAGATCTAGGACACTGGTATAGACAGCAGATCTTCATTTGAGGTTGAGATGAATTGGTTAAAACCCATCTTAGGATTAGAGGAAAGGGATTGAGTCTCTATCCCCTGCAATATTCATCAACTATATTTTGGCAAAAAAAAGAAGGTAGAAAAATGCTCCCCCTTATTCATTCCAGGTCTGCTCCTCCCATCCCATGGCTTAAGAGTTTACACAGAACACATCCATAAAGGAGCAGACAGACACAATGTTAGGGCCACAGTGGAAATAAACGGTCTCATTCTCAACTCTGTTCCTCTGCAAACAGGCATGTGATGTGGATGATAAAAAGTGACCACGGGACAAAGAAATTCTCACCTCCCATGTCTACTCAGAGTGAGGTACATGGCACCATGGACAGCTATCCCAGAAACTGGTTGGACTTTCGGTCTGCCGGGAACCCCCGTTTTCTCTAGGGAATGGCTCCTCTTGGGTTCCATGTGGTGCTACTGGGGCTGCTGATGCCTCTGTCCTCTTCCTGCATTCACTCCACCTCCACAGAGGTGAGCACGTTGACACAGGCCCCTCTGAACACTTGGGATGTTCCAGGGATAATCAGACTTCTTTACTAACACCATGATTTTTGATCATTTGGCCAAAATACAGCCAGCAGATCTGCCACCGTTGGACCTACTGCTAACTGCAGTGGTGTCGTGTCATGTCTCAGGGCACAGCCTATGGAGTCAGACTGGGTTCAGAAACACAGACATCCAGCTATATGACCCAAACAGGTACTGAATCCCTCTGCCTAAGCTCTTTTGTGTATGAAGTGGGGCAAACAATAATAGTACTTACCTCTTAGGTTTGTTGTGAGGATTAAGTAAATATATATAAAGCATATAGGGGAGTGCTTAGCACTTACCCCAAGCTCAATAAATTATTTGGGTAACCAAACTTGGAATTTGTTTCCTTAGGCATGCTAGAATGGAAGCCTCTTGTGAAAGATGTTTCCACCATTGATGATTCTATCATCAAGGGTAAAGACGCCTTGATGTGCAACCCCTACTTACTCCATTCTCAACCCACGTGGGCTCTGACTCGGTCTCACAGACAATTACAACCAAGAAAAAGCAGTAGAGTTGAGTAGAGTAGCAGTCACACTGGTTCAGAGATGAAACATCTCCAGCCAACTCCAGATCTCTGCCTTTCTTGAGTGGTTTTGTTTACAGGTATGAAGTTTGATGTGTCCTACATTTTGTACTTCTTTTTTTTTTTTTTTTTTTTTTGAGACAGAGTATCACTCTGTCACCAGGCTGGGATGCAGTGGCGCAATCTCGACTCACTGCCACCTCTGTATCCAAGGTTCCAGTGATTCTCCTGCCTCAGCCTCCAAGTAACTGGTACTACAGGCATGTACCACCACACCCAGCTAATTTTTGTATTTTTAGTAGAGATGGGGTTTCACCATGCTGGTTGGTCAGTCTGTTGTCAATCTCTTACCCGCATGCTCCACCCACCCTGGCCTCTCTGAAGCAGTGTGACTGCTACTGCCTACTCAATTCTCCTTTTGCTTGGATTATAGGCATGAGCCACTGCACCCAGCCATACTTCTCTTCATTTTAATCTAAAGCTCTGGTCTAGGTCTTGTGATGACTGACAAACAGAATTCCTTGAACATAGATCAGGCTTGGAATCTAATAGAGTTTCTGTCACTGATCTGGTAGCTCTCAATTTTCCAGCTGGCCTCCAGGTCCTCTGCCCTGGAATTCAGGAACTGGAAAATGTAAACATTGCATTTCCCTCCCCTTTAAAATAAGAGGGGAGGGAGGCTGGGCTCTTGTGACTTTCAGATATTCACAGTGAGGATGACAGCTCCTCCCTCATAATAGGGGAATGGGGCACAACTTTCCCTCATTTATCATGGAAATGGCACTTTTCCCAATTTGCTTATACCCCAAATCAACTGCAGCCTCTAGAGCTGGTCTCAGGGGAAGCAGGCAGAGAAGCTTTCTTTTGCATCAGGACTGGCTGCCCCAGTGGGCAGATGAAAATAATTTTCAGACTTAAGACCTGTCATTAGGTCCCAGGCACCATTATCTTGGCCATTTCTGTCTAGCCAATGTAACCCAGATGGGGACAAGATTCAGTCGAACCCATGCCGGTGGCATTCTGAAGCCCTCCTCAAGACTTCTGCCTACTCCTGAGGGACTTGCATGCTCTAGGCCACCTCTGCTTCTGGGCTCCCATGTCTAAGGTGCTTTATTCACAGGTTGTTGACCCATATATAACAGCCAGCCTGTCCTCAGATTCCATGAAAAACTATACTCAAGGGTATTCATGAAAGTAAAACATTTTACCAGAGTTGGAGGTCACAGAGAGAGGTGAGATTACATTCCATGAAATGTACAGATTAAAATATGTTAGACACTGATAAACATCTGATGTACTGGATGCTCTGAAAAATCCTGTTGACCAGTTAGTCCTCAGAGGCTTGACTCCCTTATTTTCTTCCATTCAGCATCCAGCCTTTCACCTTCTCTCTCTCATTCCCCATTCCTGTCCCATCCCTCTCAGAAATGGAAGTCAAAACTTCAAATGCTAGTAGGGATTATCAGATATCAAACATATGGGTTGAGAGGTGGGGCAACAGACCCTAGAGAGGATCCAGCCTGTCTCAAGACATTCAGGTTCAAAACACTGTGAAGCACTGTGTCCTACTAAATAACTTCTGCAGGCCTTTTGGCTCCAAAGGCTGACAGTTTGTGGACCATCAGCATAGTCTCCCTCTTGGCCACAGCCAGCCAAGATGCAGCAACAATGCCACTGAAACAGGAGACAGCAAGGGCTCCCTCTCCCCTGCTTCACATGTGTCCTGAAACCTTGACAAAATTAGGTGTCCATCAGCATAATCAGTCCATATGCTGGATATGTGAATGTAAGTCATCCAGGTAACAGGGAAACTTGGGTTCAGAAAGTAGACAGCCTGAGCTCATGCTGAGCTCCACTAATCTGCCAATGCAGTCTTTTATTTATTTATTGTGGAAAATATATATAACATAAAATTACCTTTCAAATCATTTTTCAGTGCATGGTTCAGTGTCATAAGTACATTCATTCATACTAACGTGTAACCATCACCACCGACCATCTCCAGAACTTTTCACTATTCCAAATTGAAACTCTGTACCCACCGAATAATAACTCCCCATTCCATCTTCTCTGGCCCCTGGCAATTACCATCCTACTTTTGTCTACATGAATGTGACTATTCTAGTTACCTCATATAAGTGGAATCACAGACATTTGTCTTTTTGTGTCTGGCTTCCTTCACTTAGCATAAGGTCTTAAGATTCATCTGTGGTATAGCATGTATCAGAATATCCTTCATTTTTAGGGCTGAATAATATTCCATCATAGGTATATGCTGCATCTTGTTTATCCATCGATGGACATTTGGGTTGTTTCCACCCTTCAGCTGTTGGAAATAATGCTGCTATGAACATTGATGTAAAAGCATCTAATCAAGTCCCTGCTCTCTTTTGTGTATACACCCAGAAACGGAATTGCTAGATCAAGTGGTAATTCTATGTTTAATTTTTTGGGGAAACATACCTGTGTATCCTTAAACCTCTGTGTATCATAGAACCTCTCTGAATCTCATCTGTAAAACACGGATAATAATAGCAATACCATCTCAGGGTGGTCTGAGAATTAATGCACATAAAGCCTTTGGCTCAAAGACTGGACATATTATAAATGTTCACTGTGTTTGCTTGATGTTTAATCTCTTTGTCCTCTGAATTGAGGGACTCATCCTAAAATAATCTCTAAAGTCACTCTCAGCTCCCAAAATCCATGATCCCATCATTAAATTATTTTCCTGTTGGGGATGCCAGGAGCTCTCAGAGTATATATTAGGGGAACACCCTCTTCATGATCCTTGCAAAAATCCACCTCTGCCAAGAAGGCCCAATTTTCCAAGCTTTCTCCTAGGGATCTGGCAACACATCCCAGTGTCATCTAACATCTAATTTTTCTTGCCACTCCTTGTCCCTTGCTTTCTTTCCACAATTCCTTTCTCAGCTGGCTTTTCCTGCCCACTGAATATCTGCACTTCAAATTATCTTCCCTGGTTGCATTTATGTTCATTCCCCACAAGCTAATGTCTGTTGGAAGCAACACTTGTGAAGTTCTCCAGATTAAGGTTTCATTCCCAAGAGTCCCATATTTTAAATGAGGTTTTCCTCTTCGGCAGAATCACACTGGCAGAGCTACTGCAATTTGGTGAAGTCAGCTGAGCTGGGTTTCTCCCCTCATTCTGTTTACGTTGTGTTATCACTTGTCCTCATGTTTGGATTCTCATCCTCCCAACATGTGTCACACGCCAGTGAGCAACAACACTCTCCCGTACCATCGCAGTGGATGTTTACATTTCAGCAAATACTATTTTTAGAAAAGTTAATTAGAGGAAATATGCTTCCAGGCTTTTCTTGACAGGGCCAGATACAGAATCCCAGCAGGGAGTGGACTCCCCTCACTACTTGAAGAAATATTTTCCTTCACGCTATTCCTCTGTCTTCCCTCTAAATGTGAGTAAAACATTCAACAACTAAATATCCTTGCTAAACACACGAAGCTGCGCTCTGGTTCAGGCAGCAGTTTAGCTACCAACAAAACACGCATCCTCCCTGAAGCTTTTTCATAGCAAAAGGTAAAAGATGTTCTTGGGTCAGAAAGAAATTGATTTTTCAGATTCTGGGCTAGGAAAAAGAGGCAGTTTAGGTTTTTTGGTGTGGGTGTTTGGTATTTTTTAACTTTTATGGCTTTGAAGCATCTCACCTGCCATGTTATAAAAAAGAAGCAGGGAACACTGAAATAAGCAGGAGAAATCAAATCTGCTGAGCCCTGGCACTCCGCGGAGAACCAGGTCCTCTGGAGTTGGTCTACCGACACCATGCCCAAAGGCAGAGATGAAGTAGGGAGGTGTCTTAATGCAAAGTCACCTACTTACCCCTGGACAAGTGTTTAGGTTTATGGATTGTCGGTCCTTATGAAGGGCTCCTTCTTCCTTTACCACTGTCTTTGGGCTGCTCCAGACACCATGGAAGCAAAATTCAAATGAAACACTCATCATCTTGATTGTAAATCATTAAAGAAGATCCTACCTGGGCAGGCAGGCTCTAAGCAGATGGAAAGTATCGACCAAAATGAAGGGCAGGGGGGTTCGTGTATCTCAGCTTTTTGTTGGTTATGAAGGGATGTGTGTACAGGTGTGTTTACCTTCCACACAGGCTACTGCCTTTAGCATCCTTGCCACACCTTACCTGGCCTACTTCATTCTCAGGCACTTGCCAGCTACTTGCAGTGACAGAGTACCCGGCTCTCAGGTAGAGCTCGGGTGACAGGTAGCCAGCACAGAAGGGAAGCAGTGAAGGCTCACACATAGCCAGCCCCTATTCAGAGGTGCCCTGTTTAGTCATATCTGTACATCTCAGCCTGTCCTCACCTCATGAGGTCTCACCTTACCCCCTGGGCCATAGAAGGACAGATGTTCCTATGTCATTCCCACTTCCCTCCCTGCCAGCAAGCGGGCTATTATAAGACAAGACTGCCATTCCCTCGCTTCTGCCCTTAGCTGGATCTCCATGCCATGTCTCAGCCTTATTTGTCCCCAAAAGCCCATTTGACCTGGGGATTGTGGCTTAGAAAATAACATATGAAAACCAACCTAGAGATCTTGCAAAACAAACCCTGGGCATCCCCAGAAACAATCTGCACTTTTAACCTTGGCTTTTTCTTCTTTCTCACTCATCAGAAAGGAAGTGTGTCTATATATGCTGAGTGAGTCAATCCTGCGCTTGGGTCTGCTCTGAAGGAGTGTGGCGGTTAAGATTTCATGAAGCAAGATTCACCAGAAAACACCAAGCAAGCCCTGCTCTTTATTCCTTTCTCTCTTTTCCTCCCTTCATTCTTTCCTGCTCACCTCTGAGGGATCCCTTGCCAAGGGAAACTTCGCTTTTGCAAGTCAGAGTGGGTAACACAGACAGAATTATTCCCTAAGGCAATTTGGTACTTTTAAAATGACAAAAAGAGCAAGTAAAAATGGGAGCTGGTCCCCTTTCCTGAGACAGTTCAGTCCCACGATTTGGGATGACAAAACAATCTCACAGTCTTAGGAGAGGGTCACAGGAGCTCCAGCACCACCAGCCAAGTCCCCAAGATTATCACTGGCAAAGCACCCCCCAACCCTCCACCCCCACCCCAAACGCACACACCCGCCTCCTGAGACTCCCAGGCCTTCTCCCAGGCAGACTCCAGGAGGAAAATGCTCCCTCTTAGGGTGTCCCCGACGCTACTCACAGTACCTCTTGGCAAGGACGAGATGAGAAGGAGCTGCAGAAAAGTGAGCCCCAACTGCGTCCAGCAGCCCAGCTCCATCCTTGCCGCGGCTGGTGCCCGAGCGTCTGCTGGGGAGGGATAGGAGGGACCCAGGGAGGCCCGGGGGCAGGCGGCTCTTACAGGGACCTCCCCGAGCCCCAGCAGAACCGGAGCTCGGGTTTCAGCTCGCCAAGCTCTCTCATCCTCAGCAGAGGGGAACCACCTTCAACCAGAGCGACGTCAGCCCAAACCTCTCTTCTCTGCTGCCTTAACCCTTGCGGGGCCCCGGGAGGTGTGGCCGCGCCCGGAGACCCGCGGACGGCGGCTGCGAAGGAAGCTACGGGGCAGGGAGACCAGCCCAGGTCCAGGTGGGCTCCCTGTATTGGGTGCTGGGAGGAGGGACCGCAGGACCCTGGGCGGGAGCAGAGATTCACAGGGCTGCCATTCCCTCGCTCAGGTGAGGCCGGGAGGTCTCGCTGCGGGAGGTTGAGGTGGGAGCTCTTTGTGGCCGCTCTGACTGCACGCTTGAAAGCCTGGCGGGAGGAGAAGGAGTTGGTGATGGGAGGAGAAAGGGAGCCTTCCCTCGCTCCGCACCCAACGCCCCTCGTTTTTCTTCCCCTTCTGTTTGCTCCAGGTGATGGCAGTTTGGAAACCTTATCTTTTGCAACTATAGGCTACTGAAAAAAGTTTTCCTCTTTCTGTGATCCCCATGATGGTGAATTCAGCAACATAAATTGTTCCTAGTACATGCCAGGCAGGGATGGAGAAGAACCCTCTCTGCCTCTACCAAGAGGGCTCAGTTTAGGTACAACACAGCAAGTGACATCTCAAAGTGAGGAAGAGAGATGTTGTATAAGATAATAGATGACATTTTTGATAAACTTCTCTGTGCCACGTGGCATGTACCTTACATGTATTAACTCGTTTACTCCTCACAACAAACCTAGCCTGAGGATTCAGTAACTCGCCCAAGGACACACAGTTAGTGAGGGGCAGAGCCAGAGTTTGAACCCAGGCAGCATAGGTTCACAGGCTGCAGTCTTAGCCACTAGGCTATAGAGCTTCTTAGGATGCTGAATATGCAGAATTATACTTAACCATTTGATAGGGCTTGGCTGCGTCCCCACCCAAACCTCATCTTGAATTGTGGTTCCCATAATGCCCATGTGTTGTGGGAAGGACGAGGTGGATATAACTGAATCATGGAGACAGTTACCCCATGCTGCTGTTCTTGTGATAGTGAGTGAGTTCTCACAACATCTGATGGTTTTATAAAGGGCTTTCCCCACTGTTGCTCAGCTCTTCTCTTTGCTACCATCATGTAAAGAATGACATGTTTGGTTCCCCCTCCACCACGATTGTAAGTTTCCTGAAGCCTCCCCAGTCATGCTGAACCATGAATCAATTAAAACTCTTTCCTTTATAAATTACCCAGTCTCAGCTATGTCTTTATTAACAGCATGAGATCAGACTAAGACACTATTACAGTAACAAGATACAATAAGTGGTATTGCCCATATCTTATGGATACAGAAAGGAAGAATCAGAGATTAAGTGACTTGCTCAAGATCACTCAGAGATTAAGTGACTTGCTCAAGATCACTTATCTAGAAGGGGCAGAGCAAGACTCACACAAAGCCCTAATGTACAGCTGGGGTTTGGGGCCATGCTTGGTTAGCACTCTCAGATTAAGAACAAAGGTTGGGAGAAGCAAATGATCATTCAGGGCCAGGGCTGGTGGGAAGGCTTCCTAGAGTCTGGGACTTGACATACAGTTAAGGCTTCCCAGAGCTTGACTTACAGTGAGAGAAAGAGGTAGAATTTCAATTCATGGAGGGAGGTAGGGAGGTCTTTCTAGGAGAAAGAATTGAATTTAGCCAGTATCACCAGGAAATAATGAGTATGTATATGTGTATATCATAACTTATATTTATACTTTCCCCCCAGCAAGGGATTCAAGGCAATACATATCGCTGAAATGCATTTTATAAGAGCTTTGATAAATATAAGTAGTCATGAGTAGGCTATACCATCTAGGTTTATGTAAGTACCCTCTATGATGTTCACACAATGATGAAATTGCCTAGCAATACATTTCTCAGAATATATACCAATTGTTAAGCAGCATATGACTATATATATATAGAGAGAGAGATAAAGAGATTGATAGATAGAACAAACAGAACTGAATAACCAAAGCTAGCTAAAGAGGACAGACAATATGTATGTGTAATTCGCCTGTGGCAGAGAACAGGAAAATAATAAGATTGTGACCAGGGTGATTTAATTTTATTCTCTAGATGTTGGTGGTGGCGGGGCGGGGGGGTCCTGGAAGGCCTTGGTTTAGGAATAGGGGGTGCTGGGCTCAAAGCTAAGTCTCAGGAAAAGAAGTCACCCTGGATTCTTGATTCTACTAGAAAGAATTTCTAAACTCCAGCCCTGGGGGCCTGCTGCAGTGAAATGACTGGAATTAAGAACTCAGCAGGCCTGTGTTCTAATTGTTGATTCACCACTTTCTGGCTGTGTGACCTTAAGCAAGTTAAGTAACTCTCCGAATCTCAGTTTTCTCATCTGTAAAATGGAAATAATAATCAAACCTACTTTGTAGATCCCTGGAAGAATTTGATAAGATTATGCATGTAAGGCCCATAGCACAGAGCCTAGCACATACTAAGGACAAAATAAATATTAATTATTATATCTATTATCTGTTCTGAGACTGACCCCAAGAAAATCCCGTGGTATGGGTCTTGTTCCTACCCTCAGCTTCCATACTGAGGTGAAATCAGTTTAAAATAAGCACCAAGAGTAGCCTTAAACAGGAGCAGAATACCAGAGGGCAGCATATACCTAGGTAGAGGGCAGAGGTCAGAAGAAGGGAGGTTCACCTTGTAGCTGGCCAACAAGTCCTTTGGTGATGGCAGTGGGAAAAAGGTGACTTCATTTCCAAATAACTGTAGCCGTAAGAGCCTCTCAGGAATCTATTTCTACCCCAGCTGACAGCACCACTTCTTTCTTCCTTCCATCTCCCCAGTCCCCGCTTTCCCCTACACATACCTCCCTGAGTCAGTAATACCCAGCAGCCTCATCCCTACATGAATTGCATCCCCTTGACAGGGTGGGGCTCTAGGTGATGAAACTGAAGGGTAGCAGTATATACCACCCCCAAATATGCAGAAGGATTATTTTGAGCTGAAAGCAGTTAAGAAGAAGTAGATACAAAAAGAGGTCTCTGCTCTCCCCCAATTTTCCTAAAAGCAGAACTTAAATTTATAAAAGTTCCTCAACCTCTCTTCTCTACCAGGACAGATAGAAGTTAATCATTGGAGACAACCCTAGACACTTATTAGCCCAGAGGAATCTCTATAGCAAAACTTACCAACTAGTCTTATCTCCCATGAGTACCCCCATTTATTTATCTTCCCATAATTTGCCCTAGAAACTCAAAGGCCTTTTTCTGTGTCTTGCCACTTCTCAGCAAATTTATTGTTCTTTTTAAAAATGCAATACAAACCCAAATTCTAAGCATCCCTTTGAGTTACTCCTCACTAGGTACTTCCATGTGTAAATACCATGCACGGGTTAATAAACTTTTGTTTGTATTTTTCTTGTTAATCTGTTTTTTTGTTTTGTCTTTCTAATTTATAGGGCCCCAGCCAAGGAATCTAAGTTGAGTAGAAAAGAAAGATTATTTTTTCTCCCCTACAGACCTGTTTGGCTACTTGTTAAGGAGGTTTCTGGTACCAGGTTTTTACTTCTCTAGGTTCAGGGGTCTGGAAACAGAGGCCCTTTTTCTGTTTCTGGAAACCCCTTCGAGAGTTGATTTCCTAGTTTGTTGTCACTAATTTGGGTTTTTTAATTTCCTAGAACTGAGGAACCTGGAAAGAGACTCCCAAAAAGATGCTTTGCAAAGGTGGGGGATATATTTTTCTGAAGAAGTCAAAGCAGTAATCAGATATTACCTTATTGAACTGCACAATAATCCCAGGGCTGAAAGAGAAAGAGGAAAGTTGTTATTATGATACAGAAAAGTCAGTAGTTTACCTGAGGACATTTAGCCCTACACAAATTTCTATTTTCCTACAAGTTTACCTTTCTCTGTCCCCATTATGATCAGTTCCATTTTTCATACCGATAGGGTTTAGTATTGTTCTAAATCAGGCCTTCTTAATCTGGAAGCTCCCGGTTGAGATGGGGTTTTTAGAGGGACTTTGAATCTTCCAAAATCATATGCAAATTTTTGTATCCAGATGTTTTAATAAGAGAGAGCCATTGCCTTCTCATTTATAAACTCCCAGGTTTTTTAGAATCACTGCTTTTCAGAAGTTGAAATTTTAAAATGGACCAAATATTCCTTAGATTTGGGGAAAGTGATTTTGTGGATATATACAATCATTGAGTCTAGGCTATGAACAGCACAGTGGACATTTGGAGGGCCCCCTCACCTCCTCCTCACATTTAAAAAAGTATTTCTGACTTAAGAGCACTTGCTCTGGACCATACTGACCAATGTTGAATGCAGATGGCCCACTTGCTACCTGTGTACACCTGGGCATGTTATTTCACCTGTGATGGCCTTGGTTTCCTCTCTGTTAAGTCTAAAGTCTCCTATCCTCTTAGGGCTGGAGTAAGGAGCTCAAAACAGTGCCTAAAATATACTTAGATCTCAGTAAATGTTAGCTATTCCTATGATGCTTATCTCCCCTCTACCCTCACCTCCTACAATTGCTTGCTTCAGAGGAGAATAAATCACAAGAAAGGCTACGTATGAAAAAAACAAAGTGGCATGCTGGGAGGTAGGGAATGATACCTGGAATTAACAATTATCTACTAATAATCAGCACTCTGGAACAAAAAATTGGCTATAATAGATGGAGTCAGGCCGCCTATTTAATTACAAGTCATAATACCCACTAATTTTCACAGGAAAGGTTGAGGTACTCTAACAAAACCTGTACTTTTTCAGTGCCACCAGGGTGGCTGTTTGCATGTGAATCCACGGGGAGAAACACAGAGAAGACTGTCTTTGTACATTTTTTCAGTTCTTCCAATCTCCCAGCTATCACTTCTGCAGATCAGCAACTAAACAGCAACCACATACTAGGAAAGCCAGAGAAAAGAG